ATTACAAAGATGTGTAAAATCGATGCATCCCGAATTTGTACGGTATGCAGGTATGGTATATTCCTAAGTTCTGAGGTTTTATACAACTAATAAATTAAGACTCAGTGTGCACAACAGTCATAAACATTAAATTATCACCAGCTGTACCTTTGAACAAACAGCTTTGTGTTTGTTTATTCTCTGAATGTTCAACTGTTCGTGTGGACGTCCGCAAGCCTTGATCCACCGAAGACATTTCTGGAGATTAGTTTTCGGTTTTGGGAACAAAATAAGCTTAACACCGTTCTGTAACCTCTCAGGATATCTCTCATCAACATTACAGGTTCCCCACGCACACCGCAATACCATTTTTTAACAAAAACTTAAACTTCCCACAACTTGTCAAAGGTTTGTTTGTGGGACAACATGGCGGCCGATCGAAGCGCTTCTGTGACTAATTATACGGAACAATCTGATTGGCTAATAAAATAAGTTTGATTGACGTGTCGGAACTATGAATTAAGTCACAGTGACCTACTTTCGACATTTTATGGCTATATTTAAGTATCTCTGGTACTTATTGGCTTAGAATCATCAAACTTTGTCAGTTGATGCATCTTCGGTTTTCGGATAGTGACAATCAAAAATTAGGTCACAGTGACCTACTTTTGACATTTCATGGTAATATCTAAATATCTCTAGTACTTATTGGTTTAGAATCATCATACTTTATCAATTGATGCATCTTTGGTTTTCGGAGAATATCGACCAAAAGTAGGTCATGGTGACCTACTTTTGAATATATCAGGTATTTATTGGCTTAGAATTATCAAACATGGTCAGCAGATGCATCTTGGGACTCTAAAAAATGTCAACAAAAATGTAGGTCATGATGACCTACTTTCAACATTTTATGGCTATATTTAAGTATTCTCCATGCAGTGTTATTGGGTTAGAATCATCATACTTGGTCAGTTGATGCATCTTGGGTTTCTGGAGAATGTCGACCAAAAAGTAGGTCACAGTGACCTACTTTTTGACATTTCATGGCTATATTTATGTATCTCTAGTACTTATCGATTTAGAATCATACTTTGTCAGTTGATGCATCATGGATATTCGGAGAATGTCGACCTAAAATTAGGTCATGGAGACCTACTTTTGAATATCTCAGGTAATTATTGGCTTAGAATTATCAAACTTGGTCAGCAGATGCATCTTGGGACTCTTAAAAATGTCAACCAAAATTTAGGTCACAATGACCTACTTTCGACATTTTATGGCTATATTTAAGTATATCTGGTACTTATTAGTTAAGAATCATCAAACTTTGTCAGTTGATGCATCTTGGGTTTTCTGAGAATGTTGACCAAAGAGTAAGGCACAGTGACATACTTTTGAATATCCCAGGTATTTATTGGCTTAGAATTATCAAACTTTGTCACTTGATGCATTTTTTGATTTCCAAGAATGTTGACCAAAAAGGAGTTCTAATTGGGTAAGAATCATAAAACTTTGTCAGGTGATGCAACTTGGGTCTTTAATAGGATACTTAGGGTTAGAGGCTTCAAATACAAGTGATAGTTTGTACAATTTATCAGAAGAGCGATTCAAGGCCCTTGTGCCTCTTGTTCTAAATAAGGATCCAGTGTTTGGCCTCTAATCCAAAGTTTCATAGGTGTCTGTGAATTCTGTGAGCACAAAGGTCTCCTTATCAATGCCTCAACAAAGCTGTTTAAATGCTGCTGAATTTTTGGCTTGTATGTTTTGTTCATTTGTTATATCTAACAAAGCATTATCCTCCATCTAAGTAAACAGTTGATAATAATAGGATGTGCATCCAGTCCACAACTCACACCACAATCTCTCTATTCTGAAAAAGTAGAAACCTCTGTACTTGTCTTTTTAAATTGAGTCAAAAAATAGGAAATAATTCAAGGAGTGAAAGAAAGATGCTTATTTTTCTAAAACATTTAATGTCCATGTTCTTATAGTAGATTTGCATTAAACAGGGTGAACATGTCTCCTAGCTGGATGATTGAAAGAGTTCTCGAGTCATATGATAATTAAAATGATTAGTGAAATTCGTGAATGAAAAGTGAGATAAGTGATATGCCCCATTCTTGTAAAATGTACTATTCTCAAGTCAATTCAGATCCATGCAGAAATCATAAGTAGGTAAATGTTTTAGTTCACCCTAGCAGAAACAAGTGAGCTTTTCTGATCATATTTTTGTCCGGCATCTACAGTGCTAGCTTCACTGGCTGATTGAGAGGAGCTAGGGCCAAGGCCCCCTTTTCATATCCAAAATAAAAAAATCAGAATTCCTGGATCCGCCACTGAGCTAGCTGTTTGTAAACTTTTCCCAGTTTTGATTTCTTTTCAAGAGCCACTTGTCAAATTTCTACCAAACTTGACACAAAGTTAAGTATCATTGGATATAGGGGATTGAAGTTTTGTTCAAATGAAGTGCAATGTCCGCATTCAAGGGAAGACAACTACAAATTAATGAAACTAGAGGTACTGTGAGCAATGAGCTTTCTAAACGATACCACCTGCCTCCCTTATGAAAATATAACAGCTAGCAGTGTCTTGCTGTGGAAAACCCAAAATATGTGTCGAATCAAAAAGTAAAATAAGAGGTGCACAATGGTAATATGTAAAGTTAATTCTAGAGTTGCTGTGAGCGATGAACTCACTAAATGATACCCCGACCTCTCATATGAATGTAATGGCAGTGTCTATGTATTGCTATGGGAACCCCAAAATAAGTGTCGGATCTTAAAGTAAAATACCAGTAGCAGGTGCACAATGACAATATGTAACAAAGATTCTGTGAAAGTTTCAAATTTCAATCAAATTCATTCATTCAGTTGTATGAGAGGAGTTGCATAAAACTTATAAGAGAGGCAAAAGCGTAATGGACGGACGGACAGACAGATGGACGGCTAGACATACAGACGGACGAACATACAGATTACTATGTACACTCCCGCTTGAAAAAGCGGAGGGTATACATTAAAGATTCAGTGAAAGTTTCATTAAATTTCACTCAGTGGTATAAGAGGAGTTGCAGATAAGGGATGGGTAACACTGCCCCAAAGCGTAACAGACAGACGGGCATTCCGATTACTATATATACATGTATCTTCCCGCTTTTCAAGCAGGAGTTGGGGTTTATAAATAAAGCTACTGCAAGGTGCTGTCACAGGCAACTGAATAAGCAAAATATTGAAAAATTCAAACCTTGCGTATTAACATGTATATATAGAGGGGGTAGAATTTTTCGATATTTGGTTTATTTAGAGACTTGATAAAAATTTAGGTGCCTGTGCTGCTTTAAATAGCTACGTAGGTCGAAATAGTCTTTGAACTGGACCTGACAAAGAAGAAATGTGGCAGTTTTTGTTAGAATAATATACTGGAGTGTTAATGAATCGCCATAATATGAAGTTCTCACACTTAAGGATTGCAATCCCTAATGGGACCAAATTCTCTACCCTTAAATGTACGTCAAGTACACAATACTCTGATATTATATTAAAGCATTTTATAGTGTAAAAGGATTGCCCATGAGAAATTTTCAAAAAGTTCATTAATTAAGGAGTAGTTAATTAACAAACATTGTGTTGAAGTCTATGGGGAAAAGCGTTTTTTTCAATATAAAAATTTGAATAATTTGAATATCAATAAATCCTGTGGTGGAAAGATTCATTGACATATTAAAAATAGAATGATAATTGAAAACAATTTTTTTATCGGCTAATTTTTTTTAAATTGATTTTTTTGTTAATTAAAAAAAGGGGAGATAACTCTTTCCAAAATTCAAGGTCATGAATTAGGACACATCCCACTAAACATACTTATAGTAATAAATGGGAACTATGTCTAAATAGACTGAGTATTGAATGCCTACATATCTTTCATGTTTTCAATTCATTGAATTTCTTCCTATTAGGGATTGAAGACCTTAATAATGACATCCATGCATCACAGTCACAACAATATGCTATGTGACCGAATTATCTCTATGGTCAATTATAAACACACAGGAAGACAAACTTGGTTATGATAAACAAATTGTTTGAAACTCTTCATAAAAAGATGATATTAATTTCCTACGGTATAAATTCTTCCAGTCCTTGCTCCCCCCAAAAAAATTACCTCAGTCTTTCAGTCTTTAAAAAGTCCGGGAAAATACTCATTAGTTCCGAAGGAACGTATAATTAAACTGGTCCTCACAATCTATTCTATAGTCCGTTTCCCAAAAGATTCGATGTCGAGAGCGCCCTCTGTCGTCATAATGATGTACAGTGAACGAATGAAGAAATACGAATGTCGAACTAAGATCACCAGATACTAATTTCCGCAACTCAGAACAATGTATACGGATAACAAATTACAAGTTATATTTTTTCATTGAATAAATAATGCATTCACTCGTAGCGCATCTACACAGACATTATCTCCCATTTACATGTAATGCTTTTTGATCAACGAATATACGGAAATGTATCACAAATGTCAAAAAAAAGGATTTACAGTTTTACAATTACATTAAACAAAAAACGCATTTAGTAACAATAAATACATAATTACATAGATAGAATATTGAACCCTTTAGCTTTCCATAGTATGGAAGGGTGCTGCTTGTTGCAATTGCCTGGTCTCTGGGACAGTCTGACACTTAAATAGAAGCATGCTACATTTCCAAAATAATGAAGTTTGACATTGTCAACATGTGAACTGGTATACAGTTTGTAGCCATTGTCCTATTTTTATAGTTTCAAACGTGGGGGGTCCCACCCTACACGAAGAAGCTACACCATAACATCTCCTTTCTCTATGTCAGGTAATGTTTTCAAATCTGATGACCATTCATCGGCAGTAATATCCTTAATGTGTGGTAACACAACTTTATTTACTGTTCGGCGTTGCACGTCGAAAGCACCAAATTCATTATTGTTTACCTCCAGATCTTCTAAATTGATTTCTACCGCCAATTTACATAGTTTAATAAGATGTCTCTTCAGGTAGATGGAACATGTAATATCCTTCGTTGATAAAAAATGCTTTAGATCAGGTACTTGCCAGGAATCGAAATCGTTCAGCGGCGTTGATGTCATTTTTCTGTAAACCGGAAGTGAGTATGCCTAACAATTGACACAAACAAAGCATACAACCCAGATCGGATACGTATCTTGGAAGTTTTGTATTAGGAATTAGGAACATATGGTGGGATGTTTTAAAATTATTCTTCTCAAGAACCACTGTGCCAGGAAAACGGAAACTTATAGGGAAATATCCTCAGGTAATGTATATTCAAGTTTGTTTAAATCATCACCCCCGGAGGTAGGGCGTGGCAAAAATAGCCGATTAAAGTTTTACATAGAAATATATAGGAAAATTCTTTTAAAATCTTCTTCTCAAGAATGAAAAAGCCATAATTCATCAAATTTATATGGAGGCATCCTCAGGTAGTGTAGATTCAAGATTGTTCAAATCATGACCCTCTCAGGCCAGTGCGGGGCCAAAATAGCCATCCAAAGTTTTACATAGAAATATATAAGAAAATTCTTTAAAAATCCTCTTTTCAAGAATAGCAAAGCCACGATTGGTCATGGGACTATACTTTTGGATTAAAACTTTTCAATAATAAACTAAATTCGACTTTTTCCTAGCAACAGTGCTCAGGTGAGCAATGTGGCCCATGGGCCTCTTGTTAATAGAAACTACCGAATATCTAGTAAAAGTTTCTATCCATTTATGATATAAAATGGCGGAAAAAACACAAGGGCTTAAGACATATGGATTAATCTCGGCTTCCATCAAACTCTCAAATGTATCAAATTAACACCGAACACGATCATCACAAATTGAACAGAAAACAAAACCCCTAGTAAAATGATTTTAAAATTGCATACAAGGCAGGATACGAAACAATATCTTCTTATATTCACTTCAGATTTTATATCTATTTTACGGATAAAACAAAATTTAAAATGTAGCGAAAGAATTGTTAAATGTTATGAGATAAAATATCTTGACTAGTCTTAAGTATATTTTGGTCTGTTTATTAATAAATCCTTTCTTTATTAGGTACATACCATACCTATCCACCAGATGTCCGATGTCTATTGTATTGCTTACTGTTAACTGACAGATATCAGGTGAAGCTCAATGAACTGTCAGAAAACAGTATAAAAGACAAAATCAGAGACAGATATTTCCCTGATATTTATGATGACGGTTCAGTAGATCTTCCTGATGAAATCACAGAAACATGCGACGGTGTGATAACCTTTATATCCGACGACATCCGACATGACGTCATGTACGCCTTTGTTACGGAGTGTCTGGTGGAGGACAGTGATTTGGAGTTTTTCCTGACCACGGCGTCACGTGACGTGATCTCAAAATACTGCCGGTCCTGGGGTTATGAGAGGAGTGAGGGAGAGAGATGTCTGTATGTACCGTACGAGCCGAAGAAGATGTACGACCTCTTCATAGACAAACTACAGCTGGACATCATCACACACTGTACTGTGTCTGACTGGGGGGTTCATGGCAGGATCAGTACACGTTGTAAGTATTTATTTAGCATAGTTATGAACTATTTGCTAAAAAAAGGAAGTAGTGACATATAGCAAATATGATACTTGCTTTGGAAATAATCGTGGATTATAATCGTTATATATTTATAGACTTCTTAACTGTTTTGTGTATCATTGATTACTTTGTTTAATCATATTAACTAAATGAGATATTTAAATATATTTATTATACTCCTTCTGATTTTTTCCAATAAAATCAATTGATTAAATATGAACAATTCCCCAGAAAGCGATGTGCATTGGCTAATTATCGTGTGTTAGATTTTGTTGGTTTTTTTTAAGCTAATCCCTACGTCTAAAGCCAGTCATGCTAATTTGCGGTTATCCAGAATCCTCTAGCTAGTTTTTCATAAATATAAATTGTGATTTTATTCAGTTAAGAGAATAATTATAAGTTATCTGTAATTGAATAATTTTTTGATAAAAGGTGATCTTTAAAATTTAAATTTGTGTTATAATAAAACAGTATATCATTGAGGAAGTTAGCAATATTCCAGTGTCCCAAGACCAGGACTTTTTCCCTTCTTGTTAACTCCCTCAATAATATACTTTAACTGTATAATAATATGAATTTTTATTATTGAGTTTAAGGATAGTTTTTTATGCCCCCGTAATCGAAGGTACGAGGGTATATAGTATATATCCAGTCCGTCCGTCTGTCTGTCTGCAAAAGTTTAACATTGCCCATAACTTTTGAGCGATTTTCTTGTTTTACATGTGTAAAACATTTTTACATATTTTTTTATATAAACTTAAGTCTTTGTATAATTCTGTTAGAATTTGGGTTAATTTACAATAATTTTATGATATAAACTCTAGTTGTGTACTTTGGGGGGGGGGGGGGGTATGGAAAATATTTCATTCTCCAAGTCTTAGAAGAACAGTTCAAGAATTATTAAATTCACTATTCTGAAACTGACATGGTGTTTAGTCTCCTTCATAGAAAATAATTATATGTATCATATGTCCTTAATTCAAAAGGCTAAGAATTGAAGGTTTTCGTATTTTAAATGTACCGAAAGAATTATTGACTGATAAATCTAATAGCGTAAAAGCATGAAACTGAGTTAAATTCAGATATTTCAAACACGGTCTCGGAATAAACAAGTAACAACTTTTGAACAAGCTTGCCTGACTAAATCAATCAATATGTGCATGAGCAATGATAAACCTTTGGGCAATACTTTTATGGGTATAAAATGTATCCTTAAGTTATATTTTCAACTTGTGTAAAAAAAAATTCTGATTTTATTTAACTTGTACAAGAATCATCTCTACACTTCATACCAAAGAGTTGTTATACTGTGTTTGTGTGTGTAAGGGTGTGTATGTGTGTGTGTGTGTGTTTGGGGGGGATTCTGCAAGTGGGTTGATCTGCCCTTGGATGTAAATTGATTTAAAGTACATTGTAACACCTATTATGTAATACACATATTGTTGGAGTGTATTTTTACCACTGAAGTAAACAGCAGTAATGTGTGTTCATTTTTTTATGCCCACGTAAACGAAGTTTGGGGGGTATATAGTTTTTCTCATGTACGTCCTTCTGTCTAGCTGTCTCTCTGTCTGTTTGTCCGCAAAAACCTTGCCCATAACTTTTCATGTAGTGGAGCCATGACTTTCATATTTGTGTATTCCTTGTGACAAGAACTTTCTATGGGTACAATCAAATTTGACCTTTTGACCTTGACCTTGGAGTTTGACCCACTTTTACACAAAATTTCAATCTTTTACTTTTGTCATATCTTTTGAACAGTAGATACCAGGACTTTTATACTTTATATATGTATTTTTTCAGGCAAGACCTTTCATTGAGTACCAACGACTTTGACTTTTTTATCTTGATCTTGGAGATTTCCGTGCTTTTGAAAAAAACTTTAACATTAGCCATAACTTTTGAACAGTAAGGGCTAGGGTTTTCATACTTCACATATGTAATCCATGTGAGAAGACGCTTCTACGGATACCAAGAACTTTGACCCGTTGACCTTGACCTTGTAATTTGACCTTCTTTTCAAATACAACCTTCAACATAATTTTTGAAGGGTTAGAACTAGGGCTTTCATACCTCACAATTTTAGATTAATATTAATACTGAAAACAACAAGATCATGTTTCATAAATCTGTTGGAAAGTAATCAACAAAGATACATGTATATCTCGCATACAATATTGATAGAGAAAAAATATATATGTCGATACACATTCTGTCCCATTCTGTTTAAATTACACTTTTTAGGTTCATTGTAACTCTTAGATAAAATAAATGTTGAAAATATTCATTATATCGAAATATTAGGTGATATAAAGAAAATAAAAAAAAAACACACAAAATTTAGAAGGAAATCAAAATTTGGAAGCTCACAAGCGACTAAATTGGTCGCGAATTAGAGTCCTGCAGGATACGGGTTTTCTCCTATTTTTTCTTCCTTTTCCTGGGTTATCTTTTTTGTTCGCTCTTGCAATTGTAACTCTAATGCTATTTAGCCTTTATCATATCACCTTATAAAGACGTAAAATAATTAAACATTCTCAACTGATCCCAATCAGAAAGCAAATAACAGTGATGCGTAGGAACTTTCTACCCTCATATATTGAAAAAGTATGTCAGAATTGTATATAAATACATACACATGTAGATTTTCATGCTCAAGTATTGAACAGAACATTATGTTTCCTTTTAGTCTATCCAATCGTGTTTATTTTTTATTGAAATGTAGAACAACGCTCATTGCATCAAATTTTAGAGAGAAATAAGGTATTGTTAATAACTATTGCTACTAAAAACAAATAAAGATACATTGTATACAATTTTGAATTTTTATCTAGTAAACATACCGGAAGAAATTTTGAAGTGGGATTTGAGTGCCAGAGAAAGATTTGTTGAGAGTCTCCGCCAAGGAACATTGACAATGTTCCGTGCACGAGGTATGGTTGTGGGATGCGCAGGCGCAGGTAAAACAACTCTTCTTAGAAAGCTTCAAAGAAGATGCACAGAACAAAATCAACCTACAAAGACAACAATAGGTCTTGAGGTCCATGAAAATTTGTTTGAAATAAAAGATGGCACTTTATATGGTATTTCTTTTTTTTTTTTTACATATGAACAGTTTCACATTAGATTTCAACTAATTCTAGACAACATGCATATACATATACACTGCTGAATTTTTTTTACAAATGCGCTTAAAGTCATTATAATCTAGTTTGCTTTCATGAATAATGGATTCACAATACTGTAAATCACTAAATTTTCGCGACACCTTATTTTTGCGAGATAGTCATTGATTCTTGGTAGGTGAGACATTTTGTTCACGAAATTTGGTTATTACTCAATATAATCAAATTATTAGAATAATATATTGGATTTTCGCAAGCACGCTGTCTCGCGTAATTACTCGAAAAAGTTCTCGTTAATTAAAAGTTATATTCAGTATTAATTAATTTTTCCCTGATTGTTTTGAATCTAATCAGATTTCAGTGATAATGCTGAAGATTCTGGTGTTAATTCTGAAGATTCTAATGCTCCTGTTGCAAAATACTTCCGGCTTAAGAAGGAGGAAGAAGGAAAAGTTAACAAAGGCATTCTCCACCACAGCAGCCGTGGAACAAAGCTGATCAGTATGACAGACTTTGCTGGACAAGTAGCTTATTACGCATGTCACCAGGTTTACCTGTCACGGAGAGCGTTTTATATCGTGGTTATCGACATATCCAAGGGTCTAGAAGAAGAAGTTAGACATTATGACACTGATCGCCATAACCCAGAAGAGTCCTTGTTCCATTCCTGGAAATACAAAGGTCAGTTTAAATAAAAACAATGTTTTCTTTCTTTTAAATTGTACACACCAGTGAATGTTTCATCCATACTTTTTTACACGTACAACCCTAAAATTCACATCATAACATTAAAAAATCGTTTGAATAAAATCGGCAAATTGATACAGTTACATTTATAGGGCATTTTAGGCTTTGTACATGACAATTATATTTACTCTTTTGTTTTATCGACTTAATACATGTATAGATAATAGATTTATCTTACGATACTAAGGCTAAACTCAATAATATGTTTAGAGAAACGCAATCCACTTGTTAAATTACAAGTCAACATACCGTTTTTATCAAAATAAATTGTAGGTTACATGTACTGAAAATAAAAAGGTAAAGACAAAATAAAGTAACAAATTTTAGGTAAGCTTGTGTATTTTTGAACTTTTCAAAAAGACAGAGATAAAAGTATGCCCCGATTTCACCAATAAAAATATGATTTCAGTGCAAATTAAATCATCCATGATAATCCTGTGATTGAATAACTCTTCATGATTTCCAAATATGTAATGATTGACGATTTTCGTCAACAAAAAACTTTTTTTTAAAATACGTCTCAGATTGACTGCGAGTTTGAACTGTTCAAAGGTTTTCTTTGTTTAGAGTCTGGGGACAATTTGAGATTAAGAAATTAAAAACAAACACAAATTGAAAATCGATAAATAGTTATATCATAATTAACTCTTGTAGTATCGGCATCATTTTCTTCAGTTGTTATATACTAAATGAATCTTCTTAAATGAAGATAAAAAAATTCTTTCGTTTTGGTTAAATGTTGTATTTCCCCCTTTTATATGTGTGTTTTTTTTATGGAAAGAAAATATTTCGACTTTAGGGTAGATGATAAACAAAGAAAAAACTTGGAATTGCCTTTACGTTCAACATGACTAATTACATTTTTATGTCTCACTTAAATATGAAATTAACTTCTGAAGATAAATGTTCATAAACCACAATTAAGGTTGTTTTTGGACCCTATCAAGACATTTTTAGCTCATGCAAATGAATATATTTGAAAGGCATGAGAATGATGAAAAATAAAACTGAAGTGAATTACAGATAACCAGCACTTATCTTTCCATCAGGGGTAAGATCTTACGCACATGGTTGAGTCTATTCACAGCAATTTCAAAGAAATTATCCCGTGGGGATCCGGGTTAGAATAGGTCCTCAGTACCCCCTTGCTTGTCGTAAAAGGCGACTAAATGGGGCGGTCCTTCGGATGAGACCGTGCAAACCGAGGCCCCATGTCGCAGCAGGTGTGGCACGATAAAGACCCCTCCCTGCTCAATGGCCCTGAGTGCCGAGCATGGGCCCAAATTTGCAGCCCTTCACCGGCAATGGTGACGTCTCCATATCAATGAAATATTCTGGAGAGGGACGTTAAACAGTATACAATCAATTAATCAATCAAAGAAATTATGCCAATCTAGTACACCAATTTTATGTAGGGAAAATCAGTAGAGAAATAATGAAACTGTATAACACATGAAATAAAGATATGTTGTATGTATTAACTCCTTTAGTCATTAGTAAACAAGTAAAGTAATTCTACAAAAACTGTTATAATCAGGTCAGTGTCCTAATGAGCAAAACTAAATATAAGTATATATCATACGTTCGTAGTCGTTTCGATGTTGGCGGTAAGCTCAATTCATACATTCATATGTTATTTGATTTTTCAGACTATTTTCATTTCTGGTTGCAATCTATACAGACATACTGTGATGTCGGAAACACAATCCAGGAAAGCACGGAAGCAAGAACCAGTTTTTATCCTGTTATTATTGTTGCTTCTCACGCGGACAAAGTGGTAAGAAAACATTACAAATCCTTCAAAATTATTGACACATGAATGGGTTAGCTGATGCTCAATTAATAGTTGTTTCATTATGTAGCACTATCATATTGAAGAATTTGTCCGTTTAAAAATCATGACAAAAAGATCCAGGTGGGTACATGTATAACCGGTTGAAGATGATGCTCATTTCTCGCTCGCACTTACATGTAGTCCCTTTCTGTTTTTAAAGATCTATGTTTGCCCTGCTAACAATTTTATCACACTCTAAAGGCCCTGTCACACCAAGCTGCGTTCACACGGAGTCATTGCAGCGTTGTTAAACATTTAAAATCGCCGTGGAATCGCAGGAAAATTGCACAAATTTCTGTAAAATTTTCAAAATATGAAGATGTCACGGCGTTCCTACGGCGACAGACGCGATTCTACGGCGATCTCGTTGTGTTCTACTAAGTCCCACGGAGATCTCTCGGCGATTGACTGCGCTTCCGTGGAGTTTTCATGGCGCGTTAGGAGTTTTCACCTCGTGTTCACGGCGTTCTCACTGCGCTGGCTGCATTCACTATACGTTCACAATGCGTTCTGAACTCATTGATATATATTCAGAAGGAATGTAAAACATTTTTGTTTAGATTCAAGTTACATAATGAAAAAGACTTCTCATCATGCCAAGGAAGATTCTAAAGGAATCACAGTCTAGTTAGTATATTATACTAGGGCATCAACAATTATAGTGGGAAACATGGGATAATTTGCATAACGGGCTAAGCCTGTTGGCGTCAGACACAAAGACAGATGCGCACGAGATTTTCATGCATATTAGGCCTCATTAGCTCCTGACCTATCAACCTGCCCAATTTGCATTCCGGTAGAATTATCAAGAAATCAACTCTGCTAAATTTCAAAGAGTTATCACAGAGAGAAAAATTAGAAATGGAATTATTTAATAAATTAAATTATTCTATTTAAATAGTTAAGTACTGAATTATTAATTGTTTTATGATTAAACTCCCTTTTTTCAATTTTATCGGTTCAGATGTGTTGTTAGATTTTCTTTTATTCGATTATGAATGTAAAAAAAAAAAAATAAACACATTGAAAAGTTGTTTTTTTTACAAAATCTTTGTGAAACAACAGAACAAGTTCTGGTGAAATTTTCCTTTTTTTCACTTAAATGCTCCTAGTGCAACAAATACGTTGGAATTATTGCTGATCAAATATGATCCCATTGCTCTTGTTTTGTGAGCTGGCTGTCAACGCTCTAACAACGCCGTGAAAGCGCATTGTGATCGCCAACGGATGCTGTAGAAACGCCATGGGAGCGCAATGATCGCAGTGACAACTCTGTGCTGTCGCCGTGTAATCGCAATCGAAAAAAAACTACAAGACAATAAATATCATTCGGAGCGTCATAAAATCGTAATAGAAACGCCGTGACATCTCCAAGGACTCTGCAACATCTCCATGAGGTCTCCGCAGACCTCAGACTAACAGATACCAGCTGCAGACTGTCACTGCTTTCGTGCCGCGATCATGTGCGTCTTCACGGCGTTCGTACGAAGCTGTTGGAGATCTCAACGCGCTGCTACGGCGATCATACTACATTACTTCTGCGTTCTTATCAGACCACGATCAAATCACGAGACTACCGCATCACGTAACAAGTCTAAATGTAAAATCTAATCGTCCTAAGTTTGTAATTATCAACAATAATTACAATTATCTGATTTAGATAATGTCTTACAAAGAATCGCCACCCTGATTATGAATTCATTTTAATTGACAGACATTTGTTGATATTTCCATTGCGAACCTTAACTGTACTGCGTAGTTTCATCCATCAGTTAATTTTGTTTAATAATTCTATTTATCGTTAGAGTGTTGTATTATAGTCCGGTGACCGTTAAGGCCCTTGAGCCTCTTATTTTACTATTAATGGTACTATACTTTTCATTCTATAACTATTCTTATTTCTTTATGCTAACATATTGAAAACACAATTTTAAATTGCTTTTTAAACAGAAAGAGGATTTGCCAAAAGCGTTTTACGAAGAACTGCAGAAGTGCTTATCTGAAAACAAATCTTTGAAACGCCTTATGTCTCCATTCATGTATTTTAATGTCGAATGTCCACCAAATGAATTGTCACCAAAACAACAGAACGCAATTGAATGCCTCAGACAATGTATAGTAAAAACTGTAGAAAGGATGCCACACTGGGGAGAGTTTATTCCTCTGAAATGGGCAAATCTTGAGAAAGTCCTAATTGGAATGAAGAAAAAAGGAAGAAAGGTTATTTCATTACAACAAATAAAAGACTTTAAAAACGTGGATTTACCTAGCGATAAAGATCTTGAAGATGGCCTTCGGTTCTTACACGAAATTGGTCAGATCATTTATTTCGCTGACGAGAAAATGAAGAATGTTATAATTGTTAACGTTCAGTGGTTTGTTGATGGCTTCAAATACATTATAACTGATGAAAAACATTTAGCTAGAATAAAGAGCACAAATAAACTGATTAACACAGGAAGAATTACTGACATTGAATTGACAGACATATGGGAAAATGCTGGAGACAGCCCTTACATGTATATTGAGCATAAAGATGAAATCTTACCATACATGGACAAACTTGGTTTAATGACAGAGATTCAGGACGATCCAAGTGGTAAAACCTATTACATTCCGAGCATGAACAGAACTGAACTTACCGATAACTGTAAAGGTGCAATCAACAAGGGACAGAAAACATCGATTATGCTGTTCCATTTCAAATCATACTTGCCTCACTTTTTCTTCTTTAGGCTGGTAGTTAACAGCTTTAAGAAATGGAAGGCACTTGATATGGAGTTCTTTTGTAAAAATGCAGCATTCTTCATGGTAGCTGATGCTAGCCACTACATTGCAATTGCTGTTAACAAAACTTCAATCCAATTACAGGTTTTTACTGCACATAAAGATATGAATCTACAGTCAGAATGCGTCATACAGATCAGAGATACACTGGAAATTCTAATTAACGACATAACACAAACTTTTCACAGACACATTGAATATGAGAGGGGGTTTTCTTGTACATATATAAACATTACAGATGAGGATGTCAAGTATTTTTTGAAGGAAAGTGAAATTGTAGGAATAAAAACAATTACTGGGAAAGAAGAAAGGCCGTGTCCTAAACATGTTCTCCGAAATCCACATGATATTAACAAATATAAAATGATGCAATTCTGGTTCAATTAAGTCGTTACTATATTTTCATATTCATAAAAATTAAAGAAAGACAGTGGAGAGTCTGTTTACAGAAATAATGCAAACTTTTCACAGAGATATTGATTGATTATAAGATTTGATTTTTCTGTCAAAAAAGAAGAACATTACAGATTAAGATCAAGATTTTTTTTTTTATTGGTGACGATGTGAAAATAAGAACAAGTTCTGGTAAATAGCAAAGGCCTTGTCCAAAGCAAACCATGGATAACATACATCAATTTGACAAACAACGTATACTGAGATTCTAATTCTGAAAAGTAATCATTTTCATTTCTTGCAAAAACAGAAAATTATATTTTATTTGATAAAAATCCTGTTAATGTTCAAGGAACATTTCTTTTATAATTTTGCTGAATATCCTTATGTGTATATCCTTTTGTGTATTTATTTAGAGTTATAATTTCATCTCAGATTTTATTTCTGTTCGCTGATTTTTTATTTCTGTTCGCTATCTCGATATCCTTCATTGAAGCCTTACTTAAATGTCAGGTGTTACCTTTATTTTTCTGTATTTGTAAGTTTATTGCAAATATTTGGAATTAAAATTAAATAAAGATTTTATAGAGTGTCAAACTCATTCACCTTTATTCAAACTAACTCAGGCCGTATTATGAATTCAACAAATGTCATTTTCCTATTACAATGTCATTAAATATGATTAACAGCAAAATTAGATAGTTCTCTTTATCATTTACTGTAAAGTCCAAAAATTTTGTAATGTATACTTAGGACTCAACAACGTTTTCTTGATAAGAATTTTTAAAGATAAATAGCCAAGCGCATTTTTTGATTTGATTGTTCATAATTTTGTCATTATCTGTTAACATAATATAAATGGTACTTGTTAATTGTCAGTAATATGTGCGTGTTCATTATATCAATTTTTTTTTCACTTTGTATATTATTTCTGTAATATAGTAATCAATGTTAATTAAAAACTTTTATTTTGATTTAATACAAGCGAGCTTCATTCATTTAAGGTTCAAGGACACAGAATGGAAGCTAATATTTTCTTTAATTTTTTGTATAATATCATGACTTCATAATATAATATAATATGATATATTAGTATGTTGCTATTGCAAGCATTTCCACACGGAAACAATGAAATATGTACCTTTTCTGGAAATTATTTAAACCACAAATTTCGGGACGCGCTTGATTGAAACACCTTTGCTCTTTCATCAAGCAAACTTTATTCTCAATACTGAAGAAAGGTAATAAATTTGGTTGTGCATTTATAAGAATATTTTCAAACTACTATCCAGAATATACAGTAGAAAAGTGAGAAAACAAAACCAATTCATTAGTATTATGAGTCCGTGGTCAGTGATGTGTTCAGACTTTAACAAACTGAGTACACCCGGTGAAACATTTACATTAACTACAACAGATCGAGCTCGTGTCCTGTTTACCAAAACCAGTTAATGTTTCACAGATGTGTGTTTTTAAGTATACTGTAGAAGCACCAAATTTTGTGAGGATAAAATTTTGTTGATTTGTCGTCAAAAGTAGTTTCGAGGGCATTTAATTTCGTAGTTTTGAAAGCAAATTCATTCAATATATAGTCATGTAAAACGGTGAAACGTTATAAACAACAGAGCTCGTGTCGATCCTGTTTACCAAAACAGTTTATGTTTTACAGATGTGTGTTTTTTAGTATATTTCCATGTGAATTGCTTTTGAAACATATATGATTAGTCATGACATTATACCGAAATTATAAGAAAAGGTGTCCAAACACCTTTAAAGCTGGCTATAAATATTTTATGGTAGTCTGCAAAGATGTAAATATACATACGTATTTTGCACGTCATTGTAAATAAATGAATAAATTGTTTGCAAGATTATTCAAATATTTGGATGCGGAAATTACATTGTATGTACATGTAGTACATTTATATAGAAAAGTACAAAAATAAGGCTAAGTGGAATATGCAAAAGCAACTCCGTGTACAAACACTTATTTAAATTTTGGGTATAAATATTTAATGGTAGTCGCCAGTCAAAATTTAAATGTAGATATTATATTTTGCATCATTGTAAATAAATGAATAAATTGTTTGCACTAGACGTTTTGGAAATTCGATGCCTACAAAAAAAAGTATGTACATGTAGTACATTTATATAGAAATGTACAAAACTAAGGGTAAGGAAAATATGCAAAAGCAACTCCGTTTATATGTACAAGTAGGAGGCAAAAAGTGGTCAAAGTCTGATGCTTATGTTTGATAATGCAGGAAAAACAATATCTATGACGTCAATAAAGGCCGACGTCAGTTTAACTGCCCGCCTTTAAAATTCCAAAGTCACCCACACGTGGCGCAGTGGTAAAAGCGTATGCTCCATAAAATCTAGGATAAAGAGTTGATCATTTCTTCAACTCTTGAATTCGAATGGCACTCTATAAGCAGAGGTCCCGTGTCTCAGTTGGTCTTTGCACGAGAACGATCCTTCATTGTTCAATGGCCATAAGTGCCGAGTATACGTCAAACTTTTTAGCCTTTCACAAGCAAGCGGTGGTGTCTCCATATTGCTGAAAAATTTGCGATAGAGATGCAATCATGCAATACGTTTGACTGCAATGAAACATGTTTCAAAAAAGTTTTTTAAGAAAAGAGAGGGAGCTAATGCATTTTTACCAACTTTACCAACTTAGTCTCTTTTAGGGACCTGAAAGCTGAATCCAAGACTATAATTAGACCAAAAGCCCAATGTATGAGTCTAAGCCCTGGACCACGAGACCATGAACTTCACCATGAACTGTCCTTTATTTCTCCATTTTGTAAAGCATCATAAAACAAGTTGAAATCAACATTTCACTTAAAAAATCAAAACATTGATACGCTCTCATTTATATGAAAAAAAAAACATTGATGAACATTTAATTTTCGCCCGGAATAAAATCAAGTAAACAATTGACATAAGTCTTTATCATCAAATCTATGAATATGTGTTATAAAGAATGATGGAAACAATAATCGAATGAAAAACCAACTAAACCGATACTGTTTAAATTTTGATCAATTCCTCAAGCAATTGCATGCTGCTGGAAATGAAAATAAAATCTGTCACACGCATCACATATTTCTAAACATGTATAAAAAAAAACTGTGTTATCCTACATTTTTATGCGATAAGTACATTTTATTCTTGAAAAATATACGGTAAATGATAAGCAGCTTTACGTATTAAATTTGAAAAACAGATAATACTTTAAAAACGCCCTGTGATAAAGTGAGGAATTTTACTTTTCTATCGTCAGCTTCCCTTACGTATGCAGCAATATACTTTAATCTTCTCCTTACGGAGTTTAGGTATCTCATGATCAGTTGATTCAATACACAAGAGCATGTTCCACGTCTGAACAATTTCTAAAGTGATGTTGATTAAATAAAATTATAGTCGAACAAGTTGTCTTAACAAGAATATCACCAATCTCGTTTAAAGTCATCATTTCGTAAGTTCTGTGGTCTATACAATGACCTTGTCAGCAAATAAAATTTATCATTGGGTCAAATACAGACTGATGTTTTTCATACTAATTGCTTTTCCTTTATTTATTCACTGAATTGATGACACATTTCTCTGCAGCGTGCTCAGTCCTCCATGGCACTGATCCTACTTTGATGTTTTGAAGGTCCGTGTTTGCTCTGTTCTTGTTTTGTATAATTGTATTATGGACTTTTGATCTTGAATACTGTTCATTATCTCCATATGTTTCATGGAAGTTAACATTTGTGGATCTGATAATTAATGAAAGGAAAGAACATTTTGGTTGTAATTTCTTTAATGAATAATTAACCTCTAAATCAGAATACCCCTCACCTCAATCCCATATAAAAAAAAGAATTTCATGTAAAGAGCAGTCCAATCCTCCGGGCTACAATAATATATTTAAATAATGACTCTACTTCATGGCAAAGTTATTCGATTACTGTAAATCACTATTTATTCGCGAGAACTTTATTTTCGTGTAAAAACGCGAGAAAATATGCTCGCGAAAATTTCATTCTCGTGTTTAATAGTATTCCTTGAGAAAATATAGAACAATGACCACAATTCGTGAAAATTTTGTCTCCCTTATAAAGTCAATGACTATCTCGCGAAAATAAGGTGTCGCGAAAATTAAGTGATCTACAGTATTAACTGGTTGTTGTGAGTTAACGCTTTATATAGTACTCGGAATTACAGTCATTCCTTACAATTTAATTAATTTTCAGCTAAATAATCATGATAAAACAGCCGTAGTAAGGGAAGTGATGGGAAGCGAAGGGAGGTAATAACTGATACACAGACCTGACAGCCATGATGTTATATACATGTGGTAAGATTGAGTGACTTTTTAGAGTTAATGGTGCATAAATTTATTAAATATGGTATTTTCCATGAAATCCCGAAGACTGGAAATGACAAAATTGGATTGATACAGATGATTTAGCTGGTTGTCAAGGGGTTTTTCCCCATACCAAACCAGGTTATTCAGAAATAATTTGTTTTTTTTCTTGGATATTAAGCAATGAGAGGCTGGAATATAAACAGAATTAATCAATAATATTCAGTTTAATATACTACATGACTGTCTACACTTCTTTTATGAGGTCTTAAAATTTGGACAAAAACCATCAAAATTTTTAAAATCTCCTGTATTCCTGAACATCAAGCAGTTATACTAGACTGTTGGCACAATTATGATATTTAGCCCTTGAAATTCATGGCCTCAGGGTCAGGAGATCCTGTGCTAGTGCTTGGTTTGTTTTGATGATTCCAAAGTAAAAATGCATTATACCTTTCAATTCTTTTTTCTTTGGCCCTTGGTACTAAACAATTAAACTTAATGCATAAATATGATAAGGAAATGTTCGCTTTAAATTTCATGGCCCCTAATCAGGGATTCAAGAGTAAAACAGGAGCTGTAATAATCATATAATTAAAATGCATCAATTATATAAATTCCTCTTTACTTCCGTATTTTTCCTATTTTTCCCTGTGTATGCAGAAAACACGTAAATTAAAATACACATATTCTTAAGATGCGCGAGGTTGCCTTTTCCAAAAGTGTGAAATTAATTACCCTTGGGTAGTAGGATCTTGGAAAGACAGGGCTCCATTGAATAATAAGT